TGAATGTGTTGGAAACGTGATGGTGGGGTACAGTATGAGCACCGGTTGTCTTATACCACATCCCGTAAACATGTTATACAAACATTTGTAAACTTGAAATCCAGTTTAGGTTTAGAGATATTGGTCTCTATTTGTATGAATATTAGTCTAAAACAAAGATAAGTCAATTGATAAGCAACTGAATGACGATAACTGTATTAAAATGTATTAAACTTTGAAATGTTTGGAAAAATTTATAGACGACTGCTTTTATTTGCGACAAATAGTAGATATTTTTTATGGAATTTTTCCAACTATTCTAACGATATATAAGATTACTTGAAATTCAAATTTCAAATTCATTTCAATTACAGTATTGTCTCAACAAAAGTGAGATTTTAGACCAAACGTTAGCTCTTTATTATAATATTAGCAACACTTCAATAACTGGTAAGAATTGAAGCGAAATATTCGTCATGTATTGCATAAGCTTTTTATAGGAAACATTTTTCTAGATTTATATTATTAATAAATTCAATGTTCACAAAAAATTGTTTCCTCGTTTTTACGTCAGAAAAAATCTGAACCATTTGTTTGTCATTTAATACTTTTGAAAATATTTTTTGTTGAATTGAATTTCAAATTATAAAATATTTGTTGTTTACGATTGAAGCAAAGGATGGCTCACTTTAATTATCTGCCCAAAGAAGTGGAGGACGAACTCCGAGCTAATGCTAACGCTATCGTCGCCCCCGGAAAGGGTATATTAGCCGCCGATGAGAGCACTGGTATTATCCCTATTATATAATCCGTGTATTTAACGAATGACTAAATAAAAAGATCTATAATTAGGAACAATGGGAAAGCGATTGCAAGGTATTGGTGCCGATAATAACGAAGAGCTGCGCCGACAGTACAGACAATTGTTGTTCAGTGTGGACCCGGAGGCCGATGGATATATCAGTGGTGTTATTCTATATCACGAAACCCTTTACCAAAAGGACGATTCGGGCACTCCTTTTGTGGAGGTCCTGAAGAAGAGAGGTATCATTCCTGGCATTAAAGTTGATACAGGAGTTGTGCCCCTTCTGGGCACCAATGATGAGTGCACGACACAGGGCTTGGATGACCTCCAGAAGCGATGCGAGCAGTACTACAAAGACGGCTGTCGTTTCGCTAAATGGCGCTGCGTTTTGAAGATTAAAGATCACGAGCCCTCACCCCTCGCTATTCTCGAAAATGCTAATGTTTTGGCTCGTTATGCGTCCACTTGTCAACAGGTATAACAATAGTTAGCTAATCATTGAGACAAGAATTGATAATCTAAATGGAAATATAGGCAAAATTGGTGCCAATTGTTGAGCCAGAAGTGCTTCCCGATGGAGACCATGATCTCGAGAGATGCCAAAAGG